CACCACAAAACAAGAAGGAATTGCAAAGATTTCTTGGCCAAGTTAATTTCTTAAGACGTTTCATTTCTAACTTGGCTGGGAAAACCAGAGTTTTTTCTCCTCTGTTGAAACTCAAGTCTGAGGCGGATTTTAATTGGGAAGAACACCACCAGTCTGCCTTTGATATGATAAAGCGGTACTTATCCAGACCATCAGTACTTGTACCGCCTTTGAAAAACAAGCCTTTAATTTTGTATATATCCGTCGCAGACGAGTCCATAGGATGTCTGCTGGCGTAGGAAAATGATAAAAAACAGGAGCAGGCTGTGTATTACTTGAGTCGATGTTTGACCCAGACCGAAGTGAAATACTCTTCGGTCGAAAAGTTGTGTCTTGCTCTCTTTTTTTCTGCAATAAAATTAAGACATTATTTGATTTATTCTGAGGTGTATGTGGTTGCCAAGACTGATATTGTCAAATATATGTTGTCCCGCCCTTTGTTAAGAGGCCAAATAGGTAAATGGATTCTGTCCTTGTCTGAGTTTAATTTGAAGTATATACCACAGAGGGCTGTCAAAGGGCAGGCACTGGCAGACTTTCTTGCAGATCATCCATGTCTGGACGGGGAGGCAGATGAAGAAAAAGGGATTAACTTGTTTTCAATAAGTTTAGTTCCCTAGAAACTTATTTTTGATGGATCCAGTACAGAAACCATGTTTGGAGCTGGAGTCGTGGTAATTTCCCCGTCTGGGCTGTAAACACAGATGTCTTTCCAGCTGGATTTTAATTGCACAAATAATCAAGCAGAATATGAAGCTTTGATTATTGGTTTTGAGATGTTGGTGGAGCTTAAAGTATCCATGGTTGAGGTTATAGGGGACTCACAGCTAGTTTTGAAGTAATTGTCTGGTGAGTACAAATGTACTAGCCTTGCTTTAGGCCCTTATTTTGCCTTGGCTGTGCAATTGCTGGAAGAATTTGATGACGTGTCCATCAGACATGTGCCCAGAGACCAGAACTATGAAGCTAATGAGATGGCCCAAATTGCTTCAGGTCTGCGAATTCCTGAAGGTGTAATGCAGAAAGTTGTAATAGTAGAAAAACGTAGTCTACCATCAATTCATCAACGTGGCATGACTGTCTCCACTTGCAGCATTGATGTTACCCAGACGGACTGGCGCTTTCCAATTATTCAGTACCTTAAGGATCAAAGCATTAAGGTATCTAGGAAAACCAAAATGCAAGCTCTCAATTATGTCTTGATTGAGGATGTACTTTATAGGAGAGGCAATGACGAACTACTGCTGCGTTATCTGGGTCCAGGTGAAAGTTTCCAAATGCTGTCTGATGTCCATGATGGGATTTGTGGTGCACACCAGGCTGGGATCAAGATGCGTTGGCTAATTCGCAGACATGGCTTTTTCTGGCCGTCTGTCTTAAAAGATTGTATTGCTTATGCTAAGGGCTGCAAATCTTGTCAGATCCATGGGCCACTTCAAAGAGTTCCAGCCTCTGAACTTAATTCTATTGTGAAACCATGGCCATTTCGAGGTTGGGCCATTGACTTAATTGGTAAGGTGTATCCCCCTTCATCAAAAGGTCATTCATTTATTATAGTGGCAACAGATTATTTTACCAAATGGGTGGAGGCTAAACCAATGAAGAAGGTAGACCAATCTGATATAATCAAGTTCATCAAAGAGGACATTATTCACAGATTTGGTCTGCCAGAAATAATTACAACAGACCAAGGCACAGTTTTTGTCAGCCATCAAGTGGAGGCATTTGCAAAAGAAATGGGTTTCCGTCTGTTAAATTCTACTCCTCATTATGCAGAAGCTAATGGGCAAGCGGAGGCTTCTAATAAGGTGGTGATTAATTTGCTTGAAAAAATGGTGGATGACAACCCCAGACGCTGGCATGAATTATTGTCTGAAACACTGTGGGCTTATAGAACTTCACAAAGGAGTTCAACCAAAATGACACCTTTTGCCTTGACATATGGCCATGACGCAGTC